TCAATTTCATCAGAAGACATTGTCATCGAGTACTTTATTCTTCACTTTGAAACTTATTAATATCATTTCAGACAAAAATTGATCATTCCCGCTTAAACACAAGTGATTTTCTGGAAATACAGGAGATACTTATCCAGAATAAGAAGACATTCCAAGATGATGTTCGGTACCTAGGACGATTATTAACTGATTTACCTGATAGAGTATATGTAGGAACGTGCGGCAATAGTCCGTTTATTAAAATTTAAAAGACACAATAACATTATTTCGATGATGACGTATCAAAAACAACAAATAAATGCGGCGCTCGAACACTTGTTTCTGTGTACGTGTGACGTAGGCGTGTTGAGTTTTATGACCGCACCATGTTTATAAAAGTCACCCCGCGTTATCAGTCTTGTCCTAATGGTCGTATTGAGAGGATCGTAGAGCAAATCGCTTCACAGACAATGTAATTGCGTTAGAGATCATGACCAATGAAAATCAAGAAGATATCTCGTGTCTGTATTAATCACCAGCATGTTCGCTCGTGCGACGTGACCGATTCCCGCCATTTGCGCTCGTATTTTGTGAGGACAATCATTCCGCGCAACTTATCCGCATTCTGATCGAAGAGTGCGGGGAACAGTTAAAAATATCACATTAATTGTTTACTTACCGGAGGACGATCATTTTTGCATGGGTTTCTCGAGCGCGACTCGTACTGCGTGTTGATTGCGCGTCGCCGCGCAAGTGATTCGCGCCAAATACTACGCGAGTCGTTCAGTGACATTGATTTACACATGGCGGAATATGCGACTCGTGTAATTCACGCCAACGAATAACTATAATGCGTCAGTTGTTTAATTTCACTTATATTTCGGGATTTATAAATCTAGGCGTTTGAATTATGCCGGATGTAATACTTTCGAACAGTGTGTTCGCTCTTCCGTTGAGTACCGACTTGACTCACGTCGTACTCACGCATAAAGTCAACGATGTTTGAATCAACGATGCTTGAATCACTTAACGCTCTTGGCTCATTTTGTAAGTAATGTAAATAATATAAATATCTTATGATATGCTTCATATAAATAAATTATAGTTTTAAACTTAATATAAATAATTATGCTAGTCTTAATATAAATAATTGAATGATTTTTATAAAATTATATCTATTATTATACATTTACTACCGTAACGCATTCTAATAATAACAGCATTTAACATTATTTTGCAATACAAAAGTGAATAATTATTTCCGATGTATATATATAAAATAATTAGTCTGATATATACACAATAAATATATAATATATTTATTGTGTATATATCAAATTAACAATTTATTCTTTACTTTTTGGTTTTTATATTTTGAGAAGATCATAATCATATTAATTATAAATCAAGAAAAAACTTTTATTTTTTGCAGCGATTGAATTTCATTTGCATAATTATAATCTAATATAATATTATATTATAATCTAATATAAAATTATTTCTTAATGTATTCATATGCATATTAATGTAATATATTCATGTAGCATATTAATTAAATTTTGTCTGGAAATATAAAAATTTGCAAGCATATCAACAAATGTCGAAAATTTAATATAATTTATTCTATTACAATCGAAATGATATACATTGGATTCACGATAATTACAGATAATTTCTATAATATTGGTCTAAATCAAATATCTTTAACTTTTGATTTTCTTTAAATTCGTATAGATTTTACTGTAATTTGCAATTGTATTTTGTAATACATGCATATAGCGACAGTTAGTTTATTATAACAATTATTTAATGTAACAGATGTAAGATATCACATTTGGTATTTTTGATTATAACGAGTATAAAATTAAACTTTAGCTATTAAAATTAAAGATTATATAAAATAAAACAGCAAATGTACGATAATAGATTATTCAGAGGATATTTAAAACGTAACGATTACAGTATTTAATATTGAGTCATCAAAAGATGTTATAGCGTTTCGTAGTAAATTAAATTATTTGATATTATTCATAAATTGTTAAATATTTCGTTTTACACACATTGTAGCTGTCGTAGCCTTGAAATTGTTTACCTGCTGTGTTTACGCGAATGCCGCGTGCCGTGTTTATGAGCGCTCTACGTGCTATTATTCTTTAATCATACGGGCAGGTAGCATTGCGTGTCGCTCCGCGTTTCTTCACACTTTTTCATTAATAAATGAAACCGAACATTGCCATATTATTTAAATATAATAGTAAATCTTCATTATTACAATTGGTTAACGCTTGACTAAATGTCGAAACAACGACTTCTTAATACAGTATATACATATGTCGCGCGACTTACTCCTTTGAAATTTATGACTTTCATAAATAATAATCCTTCCAAAGGGTAATGGCCTTGACGTGGCAGAATATTCCAATATACCACAGAGGAGTTTCCAATATACCACAAAGATGAAGAAGCTAACTGTACTTAATGCACCGTTATTAATAACATTAATATTAGATAACACTAATGTTGTTAATAATGTATTAACACAGCATAGCCACGAGTCGTCCAATGGCTCCTATGTGGCAAATACACATTAATCATCAGTTTTGACTCGCCATTCCGCCGTAGATTTAAAAAAATGAACGAACTGTATCCAGTTCGTCGCGTCACGCATTTGCTTCGGAAGTGCCGGAAGTGGCTCGATGGAATTCAATAATTTCACGGGCAGTTAAATGTGGAATATAAAATGACATTTAAAAGACATTTAAAATTAGTCCACGTGCGATTATAATTAATTGCAAATGTTTTTCGCGAGTGTCCTGTGATACAAAGAGACCCGGTGACATCCCGAGAAGAAAGAAGAGGAGGACTAGGAAAAACATCCGGCACCGGCGGGACCTTACGGTAAATATACATTTCTTTTCATAAAATTAAATCGTTTTTTATTAACTTGATCAATAGATTTTAATATTTAATATTTATTTAATATTTATTGTTCGGGAAAAAGAAATATTTTAGAATTCTATTCAAATTCATTTTTATTAAAATAATGCAGAATTGTAAATGTGGCGACACAGTAGAAGTTTAAAATATCAATTTTCACGTGCAATTATGCGATAAGATTTATTTATATAAATAAGACGATTGAAAAGGTTCAATTTATAAGGAAAGTGCTTATCTAAATGTGTGCACAGAAACGCCGTGCCAATTTCACATAATTCCTTTTATTGTAGACTATAATGCTAATCAACTTCAACATTAGGATATGCATTTATCAGTATGTACTATTTATATGTCAATAGTATAACAGAACATAACATTTTTATTTTATTACTTTGTTAAAGGAGTAAATTTCTTTTTCTATAAATACGCTGAATATATATATTTATATACATATAAATATGAACATATTGATAAATGTATATGTATACTATATTAATCAGTACTTTAATCTATAATAAAAAAATTACTAAAGCTTATATAATCATATAAGCATATTCTTGACACACAAATTATAGATGCAACACGGTATACATTCGAATGCGATTTTATCGATAGTGTCGGAAAATGAATGGAACTACGTAGTTCCAATTCAAGAATAAACTGTATTGGCGGTAGTGTACAGAGAGTTTTGACGGTCCACGAAAAAGGCCGGCATTTCAAGCTTTTCTCTGGAATTACTACTTAATCAAAAAGATGAAATTAAAATGCCTTTTTAAAAATTAAAACAACAGAGAATGAAAATTTTTATTTATTATCTTATTAATTGTAGAGAAATATCATGAAATTTCATATATGCACGCACACATTCTATTAAATAATATGAGTATAATGAAAAACCATAATATTCTGTATATGTTTCTCATTTGTTTACTAATACTTAAGAGATACAAAATATAAAATATTTAATGTAAATTTATTCTATAAAATATTAAATACTTTTAATAATAAGTTAGTTAAGACTAGATATATAATAAAAAATATTATATAAAGAGAATTTAAATTCAAAGACATTTTATATTTGCAATTTATTTTTATTTTTTATTTAGTCTGAAAATAGTGAAAGGAAATAGACAAGAAAGAAATTTCTTTGTAATACATATAATTTACTTAAAAAATTTATACTTTAGAATATTTACAAGTAATTTTACAAGTATTTTTTTCGCTAGTAAAAATTTAACTGAAGATCACATCTATTATTTTTTGGCTAATACTAAAAATAAGTTAATATAAATAATATTTTAAATGTTTTATAAATTAAAAATAATGAAAATCATTCCGGTCTTATTGTTTTGTAAATGCCTTATGCTTAAACATGTCTTAAATTTAAATGATTTGATCTAATACAAAAATAGACGAATGTCTCATAAATCAGTTTTATTAAAGTACTCGAAACGACGCCGATTATACGCTACAACTGATGTAATAATAACTGAGTGGTATACAAGCTTTTAAACGAAGAAATTTGATATATATGAATATATGTGTAATAAAAGAGAAAATGTGTAGCTTTTGTCTATAAATTTTAAAATATAATGTTAATAATTATATGTGGACAGTATAAAAATAAGTAATAGATTGGATTTAGCATGATTCTTTTCACAATAAAATTGTTTTGGATATTTAAAATTTTTCTTCGGAGTATAAAATAATATTTCCAAGATTTATTTAAAACGTTATAACTCAAATGTGTTTATTCTAAGATAGATCAATTATTGTCAGCGTTTATAACAAAAGTATCATATCTTTTTTATTATTTTCTTGTAGATTATTTTAATTTTCGTTTTCTACTTTAATATTTTATTCGCTATTTACCTTTTCTTACCTTTTCTTAATCTATAGAAGAATTTCTGATTATCACCTTTCTAACTTTGAAACTCCGCACCCGAAAATAGATGCCAAAATGCGCAAGCGCTATATATTAATGGACCAACCCTTATCGTCATGTGTAAAATTAACATTGACATTTTCTTTGACTGCTCCAACACTAATCGTACGGTTGGTTAAACTTTCACGATTGTTTCTGTTTTAAAAGCTTCCCATTGAATTGTATAATTCAGCTAAAGCTATTGTGCCTAGCAACAGCACCCTTTGTTGAGCCAGCAGCAGCAGCTTCGTCGGTATAGTTACCGCAACGTGAGCACGTGGCATGGACTGGCGACTCCGTCATATTGATCGACCTGAATCCGCGCTCCGGTCGGCGCGTTGACTAGCGCGCTTGTCAGTACCCTGAAAGCGCTTGTACGCTGCATTTACAGCGTAATCGCTACCACATAGTCGCATCGTGGCATTTTGCGAAACTGCACCGTGCTGCATACCCTCGTATCCTCGTACCCTCGTTATGCGCGTCTCACCGACGCTATGCATCGGTGATGTAGACTCGTCGATAGATGCGTCTAGGGTGTCTGAGTTTGAAGAAGGTGTAGGCGCAGAGCAGTGCTGGATCCCATTATAAGGTCGACAATCGAATCTGAGATCGCGAGACAACGCGCGAGGAATGACAAAGTAAAAGAAAGTGGATTCTGTGCTCGAGATTTCATTTAAAAACGGGTCGACACGGGCCGGAAAGAAAGTCAACGTATCTAGACTCGATAGTGCAAAAATAAAAGTATGTGCATATTGTGATTAGGCATGCAAATTCGTTAAGTCTGTTCTGTAAATCCCGTTTATAAATACAAGTGATTTTAAATTTGTGCCCTTTTGAGTCTCATTCTAATTGTTACAGCTAATTAAGTACTTGTGTCACAATTAAATTATTGTGAAATAAGATCTACATATTTTGCGTAAAATAATATATTAAATAAAAAGAATTTAATTAGAAAAATTAATAATTGAACGTAATAATTTTTTCGACTAATTATGTAAATAATTAACCAATTTTGTTTCGAAATGAAATATAATCAATACAGAAGAAATTAACGTATAAAAAAAATTAACATTTTAAACTACATTTATCAGTTACATAAAAGAAAAAACTGTTATCTTTTAGGAAAATTACAAGAGATAAAAGAAAAAAAGTAAAGAATTTTTTATAAAACTCTTTCTTGTTTTAAAAGTTATGATTATAACTGTCCTTATATAAAAATGTTAATAATTTTTAATTGTATTTTGTATTTTTTAATTTAGATATTATTCTGCAATATAATCTTATATTTATTTTAAAATTTGGATTTGTTTTATATTGTAAAATAATAGATTTTAAAATAAATTTATTTTAAATAACGTTTTCATTAATTAATTATTTATATATTTTATTAATGTAATTGACATGTAAAAATTAAGCATATGGATAATGAACATTGTAAGTTGATACTAGTAACTTAATATAATTATTTAACTATTTATTATTATTATTATTATTGTTGTTATCATGAAACATGATACTAAGTTTCGTCATCAGTTAAATGATTTAGTGCGTTATTATTTCATTGAGCTACTAAGTGCCTTTAATAGAGCAGTCATGTTATGACAGTTCTCAAATATGCGTATGTTAGCATACGTATATAAACATATCTCAAAACGCTTCCGGTGATTAAATGTTGACAGTGATAAATTAATTATAATTTTAGTTTTATGAAACTAGCATAACTTTTGTCTAACATTAATTAAATTTTTACAATGTAATAAAGTGAATAAGAATATTTGTAACAAATAATTAAGATATATAATTTAAATGACGTTACCATAAAGCTATTAATAATTTTATTTATTTAGGATTTCTAAAAAAAAAGTAAATTAAATTTATTTGTAAATTGTGACATATTTAAAACAATCAGATATAAAAAAATGAATTTAATTCAGGCATTTATTTCAATTGTACAATTACTTTCGTGTTTAGGTAGCTTCAAGTCGAATCGAATTGAAAAATATTTATTATAGGCAATATGTTTCCGCCTGAAATTGGATTTGTACATCTCTAGAGATTGTCCTAAGTGTAATTTGAAGATCAATTCGTAATTTCAGGGACAGCCTGAAATATACGGCTAAATCAGCTCGCACTAATCGGACGCTACTCGATGTTTGAGAAAGTCTCGACATGACACGAAGCTAAACAAAGTGTAAGGAGATCCTATCGCTGTCAGCATGTGGACGAATCACTTGATAGTGGGTGAGTGTGCATGCGTCCTCGATAAACTTAATCCCGAAAGGTTCTTTAATATTATAAGAAAAGCATTAAATCAAATTCAGATAAGCTTCTCGCTTACGCGAATGATTATATTCATCATTTAGCTTTTATTATTTTAAAATTAAAATATCTATTATAATCTATTATAACGTTTCTTGGAACTAGGATAAAAAATATCAGGTATCCAAAGTATTGGATATCTACTCTTTTAATATTAAACTAATTCTCTTTGCAAATGCAAGTGTTAGAAGACACAAATAGATTGCGATTTTTGTACATTATGTTAAGACATTGATAATCTTGAAAATTTATACAATATAAATTAATACGGTCTTACTTGCAATTATTATGAGTCTTATTACGAGTCTTACTATTAGATCATAGGTGTTATATATTAAATCAATCAACGCGCGTACAGCCGCTGCCTCCGTGCTGCTAGGTACGTGGACACGTACGTAAGATCCATGAAAGAAAGATCACATTTGAGAAATGTAGAGGACTGCAATATAAAGATATACTGCATATATGTTTTTATATAATAATACATACTTTTTACGAAAGCTTTTTATTATTAGAATAATTAATAGATTTAATCAAAATTGTTATATAAATTATATTTAAAGTACACAAATTCTCTACATTTAATAAAATGCGACATTTCCAAAAGCGTGCGTCGGACATCTTCAAGTTGTTTCGGTTCGAAAGATAATTATCCCTGAAAATTTCATCAATGTTGACTACTTGGTAATATATTATAAAATGTAGTAATATAACAATTATATTTTATTTTAAAAAGAATTTATTTTATTATTTCTATTGTTACATACATTGTTACACTCGATGCACTTCACATTTTTACACTTACTGCATTGTATGTGCGCGTATCACTTTTATCTTTTCCATCCTGTAGCGTTATCCGTAGCGTTATATATTTCTTATGTACATATCTTTTATTTGATATTCCATTATATGGCCTGAGAACTTTATATTTCCCGCAGACAATAGCAAGTCTTTTACATCTTACAACTATAATATTACATACAATATTACATAAAAAAATACACGATGATACACGAATATAAAAATATCTATTTATTTATTTAATTAATATATTATCTATCTATTTATTATTATATGATATGATCCGCTTATAATAAATAAATAATTATAATAATAAATATTAATTATAATAATCCTTCTTTGACGAAGTTTAATGAAGAAAATGCAACTGCTCTCGATTTAAATAACTTTTGTACAAACCACGCAAGATATTAATTCTTTGGCATTTCACGCCTACGTTCATTAAAATATCAAAGATACAAAAGAGTTAAAAAAACCTGAAGAAAATTCTAAATATACGCATGCATTACTTTTAATTGGAAAATTTATTCAAACGTTTGTCTATCATATCATAAGAGAATTATAGCTTTCGTCTTACTAAACTATTTCCTTATTTAAATAAAAACTTGTTCCACCAAAACAAATATAACGTATGTCTCTAGGTTCTTTGAAAATTGCACGACTAAATTTGATTTCTAAGTCACGTCCCAGATATTGCCGCTGATCTATACTTTTCTATGCTACATGCTTTGTTCTATGTACAGTATTTATACTGCGTGTCATATATGCGTGTTATATTTTGTATTCTACACTCTATACTCTACAACCTCAATGATCAATTTCTCAATGATCAGTTCCTTTGTAAATCTCATTATCTGCAAGAGCGAAAGCGCAGCAAGATTAGAATCCTTCCAGCGAACCGAAAAATTTCGAACGTGTCTGCCGCATGGACCCTCTTTGATCAATGAAGCGAATAGCATTATTAGCTAGCACAACTATCGGCGGTTTCCCCAACATCAATTAATACCGGTATGCTAGAGAAACGCGCTATAGAAACAGTAGCGGTTATAATGGTAGTCGCAGCCACCGTAGCCGGTGCATAATAGCGCTAGTCTTGTCGCTTGCGTTTTACTACAGACCACGCCAAGTTACTTAAGCTATAGCAACCTGCGCACCCTGCCGACTGCATACTACCCAAAACAGTAACGAATCTTTCGTTTTCAGCGGCAATTGTACTCGCGGTTGCCAACGTCTGTCATGCGGAGTGCCAGAGTGAGTGATTAAACCAGCTTACTCTCTTCGGTGTGCCCGTGCCGTATCGTCGGATTCGTTCGATAGGGATTCGATGAAGCTCGATGCGCTCCGCGGCCAAGTGGCTCAGAATATCTCCATCTCTCAGGGTTTTCCATCCTGAGGGAGGGAAAGCGTTCTCTGCCGACGATTACCCTGGTCAAGATCGCTTTCGCTCCTAACTGGACGAGAAGTGCATGAGAAAAACGTCTTGCTTTACGTAAACTCGTGTAGATATTTCAACAATTGGATATTGAGCTCTTCGTAAATTTATAAGAGTAATTTGTGAGTCGTAAATGTCGCTTGATGTAAATTAATCTTACTTTCGTCCAGTCTTATCGAGCACAACAACGTATTACCGAAGCACTTGTGCTTCTCTATTGTGCCATGAAAAGCGAACGGTGCCTGATATTTCATTTTTAGAACTCACGCGCGTGCCCATGCGTAAAATTTTACGTGAAAGCTATGCACTTGGGAAACTATGTGGTTGTAAATTTTCCAAATTAAAAAATTAGAAATCTAGATTAAATAGGTCCAAATTATCAAATTGTAATTTTACTTTTAATTGGTCATTTTATGTGTATTATAATTACTTAGTTAACGTTAAATATCGCTTAACAGTTTGCTACTTGATAAATTATAATCAAATGCATATTAGATTATATGTTACATTCCACAAAACTATTTGTTGTTAATGAAAATAGTTCACACAGTTTAGCATTAAATACAGAATGAAAGCAAAAATTAATATGAATAAAAAATTAAATTAATTAAATATTAATATATTAAACATATAATTAAACTAAAAAGAAGATTGTTCGCGAATGAATTATTTTATTCTAACTTTGCGCACATTATTTCCCCAGTGCGATAGAGATGGTGCATAACTTTTAAAAGCATATCTATTTCATAGCTCGCTCCATTTACTGCTACGAATGCGATTCATGGACGGATCTCAGATGCAAGGATCCTTTCAATTACACGGCACTACCTAGGGATCAGCCACCGCTGATGACATGTAACGGATGTTGCGTAAAAATGGTCCGCAACGCAAAATCACGTAAGCATTTTTATTTATTGTAAAAGGTGTTGTAAAAGATTCATTAATTTTTTTAAAAAGAATTAAAATACTTATGAAATAGTACGTGAACCAGATTATATTTTAATCTATTTTAAACATTAATAACTAAAACTCAGCAAACCAGCCATTTAATAAATCATGGTATTACAACAAATTTATTTGTATATTAATATAGTAATATATATTATGCTCTCTATCGTGTTATACATAATAAGTACAAATATGATATCAGATTTGTACAAGCAAGAATTTACTTGCTGCTTATCGTTTTCTCTTTCTTACAGCATACGAGAGCGTGAGGAGAACTTGTACCTCGCAACTACAAATAAACTTATTCATGGTGGACCACGTGTGCATGATGGAAAGTACCGGCACTGGTCACATGTGCTTCTGTGAGGAGGATATGTGCAATCGTGTACCCCCGACCTCGCGCTCGAATCCCGTACTCCTGCTGATCCTGTCGACCATCCTTATTCTGCGTTCGACCGTCTTAGGAGCCTCAGCTTGCTTTGTAGAACATTGCAATGATCACATCGTATAACACCAATTAATTCGATCCACCCATCGCAGTGGTGTCCAATCATATCCTTTGTAGATTCTAGCGAGTCGACAACATGACCATTCGTCGGAACGAACGATCGAGCTGGCTTCGATCCCGAAAGCTAGATCCTTCTAGATAATAAAAGAGGAAAGTCGAAAGCATAGAGTGTGATAGACGACGTATATCATTATCATTAATTTCGTGTCTCTGTTGAACGCGCATTGTCGATCCATCAGATCACGTAGATATCATATATGTTATATTTATATGATATAAAAGTTTTATCAAAGTTGCATATCTTATGAATATTACAAATATTCTACGCATGGAAAATAAAAATACTAAGGATAAATTTGATATATATTAAATGCTGGAGAAAATATATATAAATGAATGTCTTAAGAAAAATATAATATACAAGATGTTGCGTAATAGATAATACAATTGAAAAGAGAATAATTTTATACAAAAAATAAAGTTTTTTTCTTTAAAGCTCCATTTTTAAAAATTGAATTTGAAAATTTAATACATATGCATGCGTTTAACTACATTTAAGTTAATAGATCTTGTGAAGTGTCGTTGCTTGCGTTGGTGCTAGTGCGTACATATTTATGCATTTATTGCATATTCTCTATCATATAAAAGTTATATGAATAGAGTGATAAAAACCGAAAGGTCATGTGATAAATAAGTTCAATGTAGCAAGACTGACACAAAACATGATTCTGAAAATGTAAATCTGCGATGAGATGGCAAAAGTGAGGTCTATAGCAAGATCCGTTAATTTAAAATATAGTTAAACGTATCTAACAAAAATGTTCAAACTTGATTTTTTTCAAAAACAAAAAAGTCTTAAGTAACAATCTCAAGATAATTTTATCTAATATTTTTTATTTGTTCTTTTACCACTCCCTTTTTGATTTAGATGATTATCTAAATGATATAATCGGAAAGGGAGTAATATGTAATATATTTCATAACAACCGTTACAAAACATTCTATATATTCATTCTTGTAAAAAATTTTATGTAAAAAATTTTATTATATTCGCTTTAATTAAATTAATTTAAATTATTTTTAAATTATACTTGTAACACAAAACAAGAAACTAAAAGAAAGTTAAAAAGAGCTATCAAACAATGTTGATAATAAATTTTATTATAAACTTATTGTAGGAGTTGCTATAAGATTAGATAATTCTAATTTAAGAGATGAAATACTATAAGAAATGAAAAAATAATCTTCTCGTTTTCTATTTTGCGAGATTTGCCCTATTTATGTGTATCGTTCGTTCCGATCACTGGCCTTAGACAGCATCGATAGTACCTAGGCGTTTTTCGTTTAGAAATCATTTCAACTATCTAATCGATTTCTCTAACAATTTTGGCGCGAGTCCGAGTTCTCTATTAGTTGCTCTTTGAGCAAGCACGACTGGCATCATTTCAATACATTCGTGACATAAACCCTGAGGAAGGAATTTTATAAAAAACATTATTAAATTATAAAATAAAGTGTTGAATATTCTACGATTTATTTTAATGATAGATTTGAATAATGAAAGCAATTACATCTCTCTGTAACAAAAACTAATTTGCTTAATGCAGAAGAAAATATTTACATATCTTTGAAATATCTATTTAATATGTAGAATGCATATTATTTAAATTATATAATTTACAATATTTCTTACTTCAATTTTTAATCACTCATTAACTTCAACACTTAGCTGTTATAGAATATATCTTAAATTTTTATTCTAAAATTCAAAATATACGTTTTAACTACTACTAAATCAACAAACAAAATATAAATTAAATTTTTTCCTCAGCGTTACCGTTGCATGTACTGTCGTCTAGGAACATCGATGATGATTTAAACATTTACCCTAATATTATGATAAAGAGAAAAAACAGAAGGTGGATACTCTAACTATCGGATTTTTCTCACAACAATGCACCTCACTATGTCGTTTCTTTTATTCTAATGCGACAATGTTCGACGCGACAGATCGAGTTTTGTTCAATGCAAAATCATATGAAAAAGCACAATAAAATTGCGCGAGATATGAACGCCGATTGTACACAATACACATAACATAAAAAATATTAAAGTATGTAAAGATTTTCAGAAACTTTTTTATTTTTAGATAAAAGAATTAAATAGAAAAAGAAAAGCTGTATTAACTTTTATTTAAAATGTATAATTTTGAAATTTATTACACATTGCTTGACAAATAAATATTGAATAGATATTTTTCTAAATCATATTTTTTCAGTTATATCTTTTATATGTATTTATTTAATATATATGTTATTATTTTGCATAATTATTTATATTTATACTGTTTTAAGCAAGTCTATAGCCTTTAATATTATAACACTATATAAATTTATATAAACTTATAAAATAATTACATTATTACATTATTAATGATAGTAGTAATCGTTATGTAATAATGATTATTACGTATTATGATGACAAGTGGCGTTCATTCGTTATGCAATTTAATTAAAGCAAAACGCTTCCTGGATTGTACCCAATTATGACTCTCTTTTTCACTCTTCTTAACATAATCTTTCTCTCTTCCTCTCTTTTTCTCACATCGTCACAGTAGTCTGATTCTTGATCTTCTGCACTCTTTTTTCATTCTTCTCATTCTATAACAATGCAACTTCCTCATAGACACCTCTCGTCCGATCTGAAAAAGCATCCTCATATTTGAGATGAAAGATACGGGAGGCAATCGAGTCTACAATAGAAGGCGAGCTTGTACGATAGAAAGATTCTATCTTAGAAGGCATGGTTGCAGCATGCACATCCGACAGACAACGCCGACAGACGCAGAGAGAACCGACCGACGAGCAACGAGGATGATCTTCTCGAGTTTCCGAAGTTATCTAGTCATATATGCGCGCACGTTTTCCGAAACAAATATACTTTTCAATAAACGCTTTTTTCAAGCATTTTAGAATTCGTAGGTTAAAGAGATAGATACAAAGATTGAGGAACTAAATAAATAAAATTTTGATTTCATATTATACAAAAGTTTTCAAAACTCTAAGAATTATGAAGAATTTTGAGTTTTGATAAGAAATATATAAACGTTTAAAAATTATATAAATTGAATTTTTTAAAAATATTAAAAAATATTAAAAATTTGAAAATTTGATAATACTAAAATTTACATGTTTGAATAAAAATTTAAGATAACAATACAAGATAAAAATTTGCTTAAGATCTTCTGGAAATGGGCGCACTCTTAAGAATCTAGATCATTATAGTAATAAAATTTCAAGGCACTTAGGAAAAAATTGAGTTACACGTAGATGAAAATGAAGTTGAGTGCATGGATTGTAGTTTACAAGGCTGTACGATTTATGAAAAGTCAGCGCAAAAAGTTTTAGTTTTAAACATAAATTTGACTTTATTATTTACACAGTAAAAATTAATTTGCTATATAATATAGAATTTTCCTTACGTAAAATCAATAACTTGAATATATTTATATATTTTTTATAAAAAAGGGGAGCTCTCTCTCTCTCTCTCTCTCTCTCTATATATATATATATACATCCACAGAGAGATTTTTAAATCTTTATATGACAATTTTATTTTTCTCAAAGAAAGATAATTTGTCCAATAATATTATTTTTATGATATCAGTTATTTAAAAATATCTTTTATGTTATAATTCTACATAAAATATATTAATAAAATTATTTTAACATATTATGTGCTATATATAAATCGTTAACAATGATGTTTCATACAAATTATATTATGATTAAAACCACGATCAATTATGCAAAAAAGTATAGCGTTCGACTTTCAACTAAACGTACAGCACCACTTTGCATGACACTTTGCATGACTCTGTCGTTATTACTTTTGCGTGTGAACAAGTACACAGGTACTCCATTTTCACAGTCACTGGTCGAAAACGAACAGCGTCTATAATTTTTTTACATTGTAAAATACACATCATTAGATTACAGGTAAAAAATTTTTTAAATTTAGAACTATTTGACGCTTATAGATTTAGAACCGATTAATCCGCTGTTTCTTTTCTCCCGTGGCTCGTCCAAATGCAACAACAACAGCATTAATAAAAATAACGGTTATAACAACTATTACAACTATAGAAACCCACGATACCTTCCACCCTAACAAATGCAACGCAAAGCAGACGAAAAACAAAGCACAACGTGGGCCTTCAGCTTTATTCATGCCATAACTGACAAATTTACAGCTGCTAATAAAAATTAATCTTATCTATATAATTAAATTGTACTTAATTCTATTTAATCACTTGAAAAAGTTTCAGCAGGGAAAATTGCTGAAGCAACTTATTGAAGTTCAGTAGAAAGTTCAGTAGTTACATTTAAACACATCAACAATTTCCAATGAATATTTTACAAATATTTTACTTCAAACATTAATAATACAATAAACGTAATAATAATTAAAAAAAATTATTTAATAATTAAAAAACTTTTATATAATGTTATAATCTTTAACATAAGCTTCTACTTCCTATGGTCAGCATATATTACTTGTGCACAATATAAAGTATGTAAAGTGATTAAAATATCTCGATTTTTTTCATTTAAATCATATTCTTCTTTAGAGCAAAAATTATTATAAAGCAAATAATTTAGAACTGACACTATTTAAATTGTAATGAGTGACCGTTACTTATGCTAAATACAATTGTCAATTAACAATTGCAATTGCTCGCGCAAGTGGCACGACTAAGCTGAACGCACATGTCCTCACAGAGAGGCTTTCGAATTGGAGCCTCTTGCCAAACAAGCTTCGGTTCTTGCTTGATCGATGGCAAGCAGACTGATGTTTTTCTGGCAAGCCATGCGGCTCGTGTCGCGTCATTTGTTCATTGTCGCACGCGCGGCTGCGAGGCTTTATATTTTTATCGTAATCTATAATCTCTTATGTCCTCTCTCGTCTCTTCTTTATTTTTTGTTTCTTTTCTCTTTCTACTGTTTCATTTCGAGTCGCATATAAACGCTCGGAGTGCGATCGAAGAAAATGCTCAGATTGATCTGTATATTAGAATTTTACTTGGTTTTAGTAGTATTTTACAATCTTATAAATCAACGATGTTATTCTTCTCAAAAAATATATTTCTTTAATACAAATTAAAATTAAATAATATTTAAACAGAAGATTATCTTACACTCATGAATATGCTTATTTGTGTCAGTAACAAGAACTTTTTTTCTAGAATTTAATCAAATTAATGAGTATTTTAATCGTTTTTAATTAAAATATACAAAATTTTAAAAATTTAACACATTTAAAATTAATTAATTTTTTGTTAAGGATTTTATATCTTTCTTATTAGAAATATATTGAAAATAGGATTAATAAGAATTGGAAAATAAGGCGAGCATGTTTCTTTATTTCACTCATCTCAATGGAGATATGAAAATATCAAAATTGAATTCTCGTTTACCGACAATAATCGGTACTAAATTTGGCCTCGCAGCTGAAAAGTATCCACGTATAATTATTAAATCAATCCATGTTTATGATATGGATTGCTTAATGTAGCAAGATATCGACGCAAGGAGATGGATATAGATTAGCAGAAATAATTTTAATAGATATAAATAAATAAATTCTTTCGGTCTTTTAACTTAAAAATTGTATATGTGAAATTTTAATTTTATTTATTAGAACAATAAAATATGTTTTATAATAAATTATGGAAGATACAATTGCGTTTTAAAATTAATAAAGTAAATGAAATACATTTAAAAAGTTAATTATTGAGATACATATGTTTTATTATATGTATATTGCGTTTCTGTATGATATGTATACAATTATATAATATAGTATAAAATATTTAAAAAAATAACTTTAATTAAAAAAATAACTTAAATAACTTTTATTTTATGGTAATGTAACAAAGTAACAAAGAGTTATAACATGTTAATCTTACTTAGAAGTTTAAGAGTAAATGGCGATGAAAATTATATCTTTGTTATCGTCTGCATCGATAGATTGTAAATGATAGCAAACATGTTCCCCATTCTCGAATTGTTAATAATTAATAATTAATAATTAATGTATTTTATCATATTAATAAGCTTTAATTTATTTTTATGAATTATTATTAAAATTATTACTTAAGAAGCCAAGTTATATGTGATAAGAGAAGTGGGATTCTTATTTAAATGCATTTAGCATTAACTCCCTTGTTTTAAATTTGATGCATAAAATATGAAAAATTTAATACAAATTTGTAATTAGATTTTTAGATAAAAAAACAAAATATTTTATTAAGTTACATGATAAATAATGAGAATAAACTATTTCATGAGTTTTAATTTAATAATATTAATTATAAAAGTAATTAAAAATTGCTTCTGCTCAATTTTATATTTTGAATGAACAATTGAAATATACATCTTAAAATTTAATAAAAATGTTATATGAATTTAGAATTAAATACATTTTCAATTAATATTAAAAGTATATTTTTATGTACGTTAATACTAATTATACAAATTGCTTATTTAAATCAAATTTTAGAAATGATTTGTATCTACAATACAAATAGCAATTACATTGCTAAATGCCAATTTAAATTTTATCTATCTTATGATAATTTTAACACGTGATTTGATCCCATTTTATAACATGCCTTAACGTAAAACAAATTAAATTAAGATAATTATAATATTAAATTAATTAATGTTTGAAATGTATATTATAAAAATGTATATTATAAATGTATATTGACCTGTGAATTTACAAACCGATGTATTAGTGTTTTACACATGATCCATATGTTCATATATCATCATGATATGATTGTATTTACAATTGCAAAATTAAAAAAAAATTTTAATTTATTTAAGATTAAAAGTTTGTAAATGCAAATAATATATTATTTCGAACCTTTTAGTGTTATCATCATTTCATCAATAATTGTTACAAAGTAATTAAATTTGAAGTGAAATGTAAACAAAAGATATAAAAAAATAAATATACAAAATATTCTGATTTGTATATGTAAAAATTATAAATAAAGAAATGTTACAAAAATTTACAATTTTTACACATATTCATCTATTTGAGCTTTCGTTAAAATTTTTTTGTTTTTCTTTGATTTTTCATATATTAGTTTTCTGATTTATAAATTCCAGTCATGCATTTTTACAAAGATTTTGATAAATGCGTATATACAATATAATATTAAATTTATATTCATTTTAATATAATTTCAAGAATTTTACGGTCAAAGGATAGGAATGGAATATATAGGTGCCAGTAATAATTGATAAGCTTAAATGTTTTGTCATATTGTGCATTTATTTTATTTCATACGTTTATTACGCACAAAACATTGCACTCTACGCCTTTTTTTTGACAATTACTACAATTCCTCTAATAAGCAACAAAAACTAATTAAACATTAAACATAAAATAACTGTTAATTCTTCTCATATGCATTAATAATATAATTTATATAATATTATACTAATAAATAAAAATACATTTTTAAATGAAAATAAATACATTCATTAATAACTTTAACAAACATTATAAGTATTTATTTACAAAAAGAATAAAGTTAATTTTGTATCATTTTATAATGTTTTAATAGTTTCGATAATATTTCGAAATAATGTTTTTAATGTTTGAAAATTTATTTAATACTGATAGAACATATTTGTTCTTTCATCATACCACACCAATGATATATTGGCAAAATAATCTTAAACTGTCATTTTTGCAAAAAACATGAAACACGGCTTTGAGTGCGTACGTTCTTCAACGCATGAAGAATACTTAAAGCTTCTGGACTAATTACTGATGTTCAGAGAAATGACCACATTTTCTACAGAATTCTCCCTTGTCATTTTTTTCTTCATTTCCTTTCACTGACTTTTCCTTCCTCAAAAATCGGATAGGCTCTAAATCGCCTGTATAAGGTCGATGACCGATAGCAGCTATGGTCTCACTTCTAGGAAAGCCTACATTAGCCGAAGCAATAGTTACCGTGTTTTCGCTGTTATCTTCAACATCAATGTTAATTAGCGAACCATTCACCACTGTATAACACGAGGCCTTCGAGATAGATGATTCCTTTTTAGTTGCTTCGGAGTTATCAGAATCTTCCCAATTTTTATAAACAATCGATTTATCTGTAATAGCCATAAGCCTTGTGATGCATTTTTTTATTTATTTGTTATTTATTAAAGTAATAGCAACGCACCGTTATCGGATTCATCCATTGTGTCAACATCAGATGTTGACTCGCATGCCCCGGCATCTTCATCCTCTTTCATTAGTGGTAATTCAGAAGGAGAATCTGAGAGTGGACGGCTACAAACGTATCCCTAGGAAATATATGCAACATTATTAAACTATTGATTATAATGTCATATTTTGTGTTAACTAAAAGCATCAAAATATATAAGAGTAAAAATTATCGATTGGTTTAAACATACCTGAACAAGATCCATGCGAGAATCCAAAGAAAACTGCTTGCCTGACATTAATATTCCGCGAATACGACGACGCATAGCTAAAATTAATAATGTTTAAATATTAAAATTATTAATTAAAATTATTAAAATTAAATATTAAAATCACATAATATAATTAATGCTTAATATTAAATGCTTACCTGGACTATCTCTCGCCTCAAGATGAATTTTTCCAAAAGTTTTCATGCATTCTTCAAATACATCGGCCGTATCGTATATGGCGGCAAAACTACCATTCACGATTTTTGGCGACATCGGTGAATTGGCTAATAGTAAACTCGATCCGAAATTCTCGTTCTTCTGCCGTGTGTCTACAAATAATTTAAATTAATTACATGTTTTTTCGGAATAGATATTAAATATTGTTAACTAGTAAAGAAGAAATAAGTGTATTTCAATTTGATTTTCACAAAAATTATTTACAACTTATCCTTGAGAAGTGTAATGTGTAGAGTATAGAGCAAACGCAGATATGTGTGTTCATACTAATTAAAAAATAAGGAAACATTGTATAAACGCAATAAAATCATTTATTCAACTGCGATTACCTTTATCTTAACTTAATAAAAGCAATAAACATAAATCAGACAAATTTTAAAAATCATAATTATTACTTTAAATTATTACTTTAAATAAAGTTTAACATTATTTATATTAATTAACATTATTTATAGTATTATTAAACATAAAATAAAAATCTTTTTTTCAGTATGTAACATAATTGGTATTGTGTGAGTGTTCTGTTAATTAATAAAAAGAATAATTATTAAAGTATAAGATAAAAATACTTTTGCGCCATATATATATATATAAAATAAAGTATATATTATATACAGATTATTAATTTTTTATTTGTGTAAAAGATGACTTTAATTCATCATATTTTATGAATCATGTATAGCGCAAAATCTCTTTGACGTATACATATATTCTATGCATGATATATCTTTGCATCATATATCTTTAGTTAAATACAAGTACTATCTTCAAGAAAATAACTTCATATTATTATTGTTATAGATTTATATCATTAAATATTTCAGAAATTGTTTAAGTTTTGGCTCGTTATTACCTGCCAGAGGAACTTTAGCTCGTATAGGTGCTTGCGTAGTATCACCCAAGATTTCTTTAGCCGTACTCCGTATTTCTGCCCAATCTCTTAAAATATCCTCATTCGTCGTGCTAAAATATCGAATTTTATTTGAAAAGTTTAAAAATTATGAAAAGAATACATTACAATAATCGTTGACAGATATATTAAAAGAATGTCTCTTGTCTATTTATTTCTATCCATAAAAGAATACTGTTTAAAATATATATTTAATACCTTTAATCCTTTTTTTAATTTTCTTCTTCGTCTTTAATATAATTGTATGAATATTGAAAGATAAATATAAAAACATACTTTGTCGAAGTAACTGTAAATCTGATGACATATTTTCCATGTAAGGCGGCTGGCACGCAATGTAGTCGACCTCGCGAATTAAGCTTTTTTAGCAAACGTTCTGTCAAAGTATTTTCGCCGCGAAGACGAAAAACTACCATGCCAAGATGTCTCGGGGCAGGAATTTCGAAGCGAGCATCGGCCAAAACTAGAGCTTCGAATTTCTGTGCCAATCTCACACCCTTATAAATATAAAGTATATACATTATGCATTTAGCTTATATAGAAAATAAAATAAGCGACAATTAAATTTAGTATTGTCTGAAAATTTTTTATCTTCAAATAAAAAAGTGTATTTTTATTTCGTGTTTTTACCTCTCGTATATGTTTTTGTAAGCCAGTAATTCCATAATTCCTGATAACGAACCACAATTTTAAAGCTCTAAATCTTTTGGATAGAGGAATCTGCCAATGCTAAAAGAATTAACATTAAAAAAATATATTTATTTAATATATATATTTTTTATTTAAAAATTTAATAATA